AATCCCATCAAAACTTTTCATTTCTTTTGTATTTTTAATCTTTTCCAGAATGACTAAGATTAAAAATCAAAAAATGGTAAGTGCTGGCAGGACTGTGGTAAAGGGGGAATTCTTCTATTCTGCTGGTGAATAGGTAAAATGGTTCAGCCACTCTGGAGAACTATATGGGAGTTCTTCAAATATCTACTTATAGAACTACCATGTGATCCGACAGTTCTGGGTATCTGCCCAAATACAGGATGACACTCAGAAAAGTCCTTGCACACCTGTGTTTATTGAGGCATTATTCAAAACTGCTAAGACATGGAACCAGCCCAAATGTTCATGAACAGAAGAATGGATTTAAAAAGTGTGGTTATACTTTATGGAATGATACACAGCTATTAAAAAACAACAAGACCCTGACTTTTTAATAGAAAATAGACAAATATGGGAAGATTTACTGCTCAGTGAAGCAAGACAGACTATGAGGAAAGACATTGCATGCTTCCACTTAATATGTGTTGCTGTCTGCGCTCTATTGTGGAAACTGAAAGATTAGATCATACATAAGCCTGGACAATGGTTGTGAATACTGGATACAGTGCGGGAAGTGAGTGGGAGAAGGGGTATAGTGTAACAAAAGAAATTAAGAAGAAAAATAGAGAGGCAAGATTTTTTTGGGACACAGAAATGGATTAATATCTGTTGATGATAATATGTATAGGATCCTCAACTGGACTGGTGTGAAGTGCCTTCATGTTGTGAAGCTAAGTGATGTATAGTAATTGAATGTATGAAAGAAATAAAACAAAATAAAAGACATATTAAAAAATATAAAGTATTTGCACAGCATACAGCACTGGCAGACAGCCAACATCTTTCCATGTCTTTACATGTATTCTCTCTGTGCATGTCTGTGTCTTCACTATCTTTTACTAGAGGACATGGTCACATTGAATCATGATTCACCCAATGACTTCAATATCTAAGTAAGAGGAGTCTTCAAAAAGTTCACAGAAAATGCATACTGAAAGAAACTATGTATGGATTTGAAATTTGTTTTCACCAAAATAAATTTGTACTTTAACTGAAAAAATCAAAAAAGGAATGGCCTATGGGATAAATGGTTTATTATCTGTTTATGATAATGTGTATAGTATCCTCAACTCACCTGGTGTAAAGTGCATTCATTTTGGCAAAATTCACTTTATAAGAGAAGTGATGTATAGTGATTGAATGTTTAAACTAACTAACTAACTAAATAAATAAATAAATAAAAGGAATGGCCAAGGAAAGGCAAGAATTAGCAGACTTCTTGGTAGAACAGTAGTATACATAAGACAAAGTGGCATATTTTATTTAGCAGAAATAAGGGTTGCATACCTCATATTTTAGGTGTATATGTGTGGGGTGTTCAGGTCTGGGTGACCACACTGAGATGGCACACATATTTCATGTGCACTGGTGGGATACACCTGACGTGAGCTCTACTGCATGAACCAGATACCCACAGCATCAGTAGTTAGTTCTCTTGTCTTCGTTTAATTAACTACTTTCTTCTATAGTGAGCAATAGATCTATTCCCAGTAAATTTTAAATGTTCATCTGCAAGACTTGCAAGAGGACATGGATTCCGCAACACCTAGAGTAGATTTCATTTTTAAATATTAATGGAAACTCAATATGGAAGTTAATACAAGCTGTTTTAAAGGAAAGGGCTTCCTTATTATGATCTAACCCTCTTTCAGAGGGCTTCAAACTTTGTTTGGCACCTGACCACATATATCTCATGGTATCTGCATACCATGATGTCCAAGTCCAAGCAGTCCCACTCTGGCCATGGAAGCCTTGTTCTGAGAGGGATACCTAAGTAGAGAAGAGCCCATAGGCTTTATGATCAATGATTAAGGAAAAGACAAGTGGGACAATTCAATGAATTTCTTCAGAATTTGCAAAAGAGAAATCTAGCCTGTTTCTGAAGAAATAACAATGAATATGTTGTATTTGGGGACTTGGGCTAGAAAGTCATGACTTGGGTGCTCTGCAGAGTAGTAGACAGAAGACATTAAAGAGGCATCCAGGAAGAAAAGAAGGGAGCAAGGAGGCCAAAAGAAATCACAGCCACATGGCCTCTGCAAGAAAGGGGCTGCGAACGCCTGGCCATGTCTCCGTTGTTAATTTTACGCAATCCAGCTGCTCAGCCTTTTCATTCCTAATGTATATAACTTCACAGAACCTCCTATAATGCTCACCTTAAACTAAATGTACTTGAGAGTATGTCCATTTCTACCTCCAAATGAGCCTCATTAATATGACAACAATCAGTTTAGTCAGCTGGGAAATAGGAGGAAGGAGGGATGTGACTTACTGCCTCTGTTTCTTATTTTCTTTGAAGAACAGCTCTACATTTTCCTTGCCTATCACAGATGTAGTCAGGGAAGCCCAAGTAAATTCTTCGTTCCTGGTTCCCAAGGCTAACAAAATCAAACAAACAAACAAAAATTACAACACCACCACCAACAACAAAAACAGAATTGCTCCAGATTGACAGAGGAAGTTAGAGGTCTTTGGCTCAAAAGCCAGAATTGATTTTCTGTAAATATGAGGAGCAGAACTGCTGAATATGAAAGGAGGCTCATTTTAAATAAACCAGTAGTTCTCACTAGAACACTTCAGGAAAAACTACGAGGACTTCGGATACAAAAACAGGACACAGGGAAACAGAAGACAAGGTCAGAGGGAAGAATGCAGCAGAAAAATCAGTCACTAGAAGTAGCTTTGAGAACATCATGACAAAAAAGATGATCATTTTTTATCAGAAAACAGTATGGAAGAGATGACTAAACAGTCTATTTTTTTTTACATATTTATTGTAATTTATGACACTTCTAATCATTACACATATTTGCAGAGTATATAATGATCTTTAAAAGCATGTATATGAAGAATAATAAACAAATCAATGTTAACATATTCACCACCTTCAACATTTAACATTATTTATGTTGTGAACATTTGAAATCTACTCCACTGGTTTTTTGAGAAATACGTACTGAATTATCTATGATATTTTCTACTGTGAAATACATTTCTGAAGAAAAATATATGGATTGAAAATCAAACAGGGAAATACTAAGTTAGAAAAGTATTTGCATATCTATGCTTATTGCAGTATTATTCACAATTGCTAAGGCAGGGAACCAACACAAATGTCCACAAACAGATGAATGGATTGAAAAAAGTGTGGAACATATTCTCTATGGAACACTACTCAGCCATAAAAAACATTAAGACCACGGCATTTGATAGAAAGGGAACAAATATAAAAGTTTTACTGCTGAATGAAGAAAGCCAGGCTATGAAAGAGAGACACTGTATGTCTCCACTTACTATATACCAACTGTACACACTCTATGGTGGAAACGGAAAGATTACAGGACATAGAACTTTGAAAACGGTTATGAATACTGGGGAAAATGTGGTAAGAGGGTGGGAGAAGGGGGAGTTTGTATGGAAAGAAATTAGAGAGGTAAATATAGAGGAAAGGCATTTATGGGACACAGTAATGGATTATATGTTGATGATAATGTGTTTTGTATCCTCAACTAGACTGGTGTAAAGTGTTTTCATGTTGGGTAAATTCAATTTACAAACTATGTGATTTATAGTATATATAGTGATTAAATGTATAAAATAAAATAAAATTTCAAATATAGACATTAAGTCTCATAAGTTAATGAGGATGAATTTTTTAAAACAGAGATATTGACTAGCTAGTATATTATAAACTAAAAAAATGTTTAAAGTGTATCCAACAAACTGACAGATGATAATAGTATGAAGAGGAGTCAAGAAGACACCCCTGGACACTTACAACTGTCAGTGAACTTCTGTATGGCCGAAAGAGAAATGGACTCGGTATCCTGGAATTTGCTGCTTTGACAGAGGCATTGAAGGCTTTATCCACGAGGGGATCCGCATACCGTGGCAACCCTGAACACACAAGCACATGGAGCCTCAGTGAGGCTCCACACAAGGTGCTTCTATCATTAAAAGATTGAAGTGACTGGGTTGTTGAGGGTCTTACCTGTGCAAGACCAGTACTTGATTCCAAGAGCAAGCATAATCATGAAGATCATTAACATCTTCTCCATCCTGGGAACAACAATTTTAGTTCAGAGTAAATGCGATTGTCTCTCTAGAGGTTTAGGAGCAGCAGTTTTCCTGAGAGTATCTGTCTTTATAAATAGGACTTATCTGTGTTTTCTGATTTGGTCTCGGGGTCATTTATTGCTGACAGTTCCAATGGAAAGATTCCAGTTTGAGAATATTTGTGAAGTTTAGAGCTACCCAGAGGCCTTTAACCCATCACCAAATGCATCAAGAGGATCAGGATTCCACATGTGCTTCTATTTCTTTCTCTTTTGCTTTACTTCTTTAGAGAAAGGATATATTATCTACGCTCAACAAAATGGTTCATATACAACTTTTGCCTTTTTAGTTCTTTAGTCCTAATGATCTCA